GTCCAAACGGCTCGCGTAGGCGGCGGCGCCGCGGTCCTCGGGGTTACCGGGAAGAGAAGGGCTTTCCCTGGGCGTTTGGAAGGAGGGAGGCCTCCCGAGGGAATAGGGCTCGAGGCCACTCCCCGCAGTTGGGCAGTTTCACCTGCGTCGCGGAGAGCAATCTGGGGGCCTTGGAGTGGAAGAGGGTCGTGGGACCTGGTGGACCGGGTTTCACGTCCCGTTAGTGAAGTGGGGATGGTTCTGCAAATCAAGATTTCAGTAACAAGACTGCATCTGCTCTCCCGTGAGGAAAATAACCAACGTTGCTCAGTTTTCTGTAGAGTTACACAGCACTTTAGCGTTCTCTGTCTCTTGGTGCTCCATCAGGTAGGATTCTCATTTTACAAGCCAAGTAACTCACCCAAAGCCTCACAGTTAATAAAAGTCAGAGCCGGAACCCTGCTGTACTGACTTCAAATTCTGTACTGCTTACCATCGATCACAAAATCTCCCTAAATCACTTTGATTTAACTAACAGTAGACACATACACTCCCATAGGTAACATCTGCAGAGTTAGGGAGGCTAAAGATGTTATTCTTGCCTTCAGAGACTAAGAAATAAAGATAAAAGTTACAATAAAAGACAAACCGTGATAAGTGCCTTATGAAAAACACGAAGGGTACTGAAGATTAAAAAAAAAAAAAAAACTAATTGTGTGGGATATCAGGAAAGAAAAGGCAGCATGGAGGAGGCATTTGGGATTGACCATGGAGGAGATGGGAATGGTTTCACAGCAAGAAGGATAGCATGAGAACATAAATGAAGACTGATAATGAAAGTCATGGTCAGGAAAAAGCAAATGGTTAAACTCCAGGACATGTTGAGAAGTGGCACAGACAAACAGGAATGGGGCCCTATGCCAAGTGGGAGAATTTTGTATTTAATACAGTACTTTGAGTTTTCGTGGTTTAAAAGCCTTCCTTTTCTTTGACATCTCTGTGAACGGATACAGAAATCAGAGGTGGGAAAACTGCCAAATAGACCTGCAATAGGCCAGGTGAAAGGTAATGATGAGTCTGAACTAAAGGTAAGGCAGGAAGGATTTAAAAGAGCTTGGTTAGAAGATGATGTGGAAGCAGCATCCACAGAATTTGGCGATTGATAAATTGGTTTTACAGCGAGAGGGGATAACGTGAGAACATATATGAAGGTGAAAGAGAAAAATTGAAGATAGTGGAGGCTTTGAGTTTAGGTAATTGTAGAAGAAATAGAGATAGAAGTAGGAACTGCTTTTTGAAAGATCAGTTGAGATTTGGACACTTTAAGAGTTTGAAAGATTGTTGAGACAGCCAGATAGAGGTGGATAGTAAGAAGTTAGAAATAAAAGCTTTGAAATATAGGAAAGAGGGTTGAACTAGAAAACAGGTTGGTAAGTTAGCCTATCAATGATATCACTGTGAGAGAAAAGAAGAAAACAAAGGGTAGAATCTTGGAGAACATCTTCACTAGAACTTTGCTACTTGAAGTGTGGTCAGTGGCCTAGCAGTACTGGCATGACCAGGGGGTTTGTTGGAAAGGTACAATCTCAGTCCCCCTCATCCCCAACTCGTGCTAAATCAGCATCCTTAACAAGAACCCCAAGTGATTTGTATCACATTACAGTTTGAGAAACTGTGACCTAGGTAAGAGAAGCCAACTAATAAAGAAGAGATCTAATCTAGATGAGGGAAACCAGCAGAGAGGGAGGAGGAAGCAGGAGGGGAATCAGGATAATGCAGAATCACCAAAGCAAGGTAAATTGGAGTTCCATAAAGGCAGGGGCAGGAAGAAGTGTTTATTGACAATAATACCACAGAGGTTAAAGTGCACGAGGAAAGAAGGTATACTTGAATTTTGTAATTGGGTGGTATGATCCTCTGACCGACCATGTTCCCATTAAAAGCTTGGAAATTGCTCCTTTGTGATAGGGGACGACAGCCTAGAAATATAATCCCACCTCCCATCCCCCAGTCTCCACATATATGGGACATATGGAAGTAGGTAGGCTTATGGATTTGATAGAAATTCTTTTCTAACTGCTTCTATTTTCTCTGTGAACTAAGAAGCAAGACCATTCTGGCAGATTGCTAATTGTCCGTCACAGGCTCTTCTCCCCTTGTTCCTGGGCACACAGACTGTATTTTTCTCAGCTTTTCTTCCAGTTAGTATGGTCAAGTATTAAGTTATTGCTAGTGGAATGTGAGCAGAAATGATGTCTGCCACTACCAGGCCAGCGTGTCTCCATACATTTTTCCTTTCCACCAGCTGGATTATGCAGATGACTACCAGCCCCTGGGGGTGACAGAGCCACAAGAAAGAAGGTACCTGGAAGAAGGAGAGCTGCCCACTGACCAGGAACACCCACTGCCAATTATCATGTGAGCAAGATGTACATTTCTCTATTAAGTTGGAGCTGTAACATTTTGGGGTCTACTTAGCCTCCTCTAGCTAATGTAGTCAATAACTGAAGGGGGGGGTTGGGAGGGGGAGGAAAGGTGAAATAGTCTGACTGTGGGAGAGACAATTGACTAGGGAAGCATAGTAGGGTTTTCAGGCACTATTAAGGGTCTGCCTGTGTGAGTGGTCATGAACTTACAGTCAGACCAGTCAATATGGTTGTGCATTTTCCTCCAGCCATATTCTGTTGCTTATGTGCAAACACTGAGTAGGTGGTTTGGGATTAACCAGGACAGAGATTCAGCCAGGTAAGTATAAATGGGGAGTGATAGACCAAGAGGCTGAGGGTAGAAGGAAAGGAGGCATCATAATTTCAGGCCAGATAAGAGGTAAGACTATGAGAGGGGTAGGGAAAAGTGCAAAGATGGTAGGGTGTATAGACTGGTGTTTCTGATCAGGTTGAAGAATGGAGTTTTGGTACTCTAGAGAGTGACCTGAAAAGATAAGAGATGGATTGGAGAGGAGGAGCCTTGAAATTAAAATTAGACGAAAATTAGACGTGGGGCTGTAGTTGTCAGCAATGTCAAGGTGTAGGGAATGATCATGAGAGTGGGTTGCTGAGATAGCAGATGGCATACGATCATTTGAAGGGAGCTGGTCAAGGAATTGAAAGACAGGAAGGGTTTGAATGTATTTATCTCACAAAGAATTATCAAAGGACTGTTAGTCATGTTGGAGTAGTGAATAGCCTTGGAGAGAGTGGTAATGAGCCTGGTACCAAAATCTTCAAAGAATGAGGGGTTGAGTTCTCTGAATTAGGGTGTTCCAGGCCATCAGTGCTTTAGTGTGTTAAACTCTTGCAGAGGTCATGTTTCATTTAAACAGGCGCTTTTAAGTTTTGTGTTACTAATGTGGGATTTGTGATTGCTTCTCTTTGACCTCTCAGATTACAGATGGTAACTGCTTTCTTTAAGAGGAAATGCCCATCTGTCTGTATTATAAAACAAACACATGCCAGGCTTCCCAGTTTAAATGAATGCTTTAAAATTTGTCATAAACTACTCTGTTCTACCTCCAACATATATCCTCAAATAGATACATCAAATGTGATACTAGCTAACTATGCAGCATCAAATAATGGGCTGTAAATGTTCAAAATCTGCATGAAAAACCTTAGGTATAACTTCACAATAAATAGCAAT